TATTTGTTCCCTAGGGCTGCCAGAGCAAATCATGTAAACTAGGAAACTTAAAACAACAGAAATTTATTCTCCCACAATTTTGGGTGCTAGAAGTCTAGACTCAAGGTATTGGCTGGGTCGATTCCTTTTGGGGACTCTGAGGAGAATCTATTCCATGCATCTCTTAGTTTCTGCTGTTGCTGGTAGCCTTTGGCCTTCCTTGACTTGTAGCTGCCTAAGTCCAATTTTTGCTTCCATTTTCGCTTGGCCTTTTTCTCTGTCTCTGTGTTTCAAATCTCCCTCTGCTCTCTCTTGTCAGGACACCAGTCATTGGATTAGGGTCCACCCTAAATTCAGAATAATCTTATTTTGAGATACTTATGTTAATTGTATCTGCAAAGACTCTATTTGCACATAAGATCACATCCACAGGTATAATATGGTATGCGTTAGGACTTGGACATATTTTTGGGGGGACACAATTCAACTTACTATAGCAGAGTACTTTGAGGCCCCGCAAATCACACCCTAGGCTACTTGAGATTACCCCTAAGTGCAAAATCCTGTGCTATGTTTGATATCTCACCAATTTCTTTGGAAAAGCTTTATAGAGTTATCTTTACAGCTACAGAAAAAACAAAATATTTGTAGTCTAGACTCATATTCATTCATTACTTAGCAAGGATACTCATCAAAAATTATAAAACATAAGGAAAAGCTGTAGGTCAACCGATTCCTAGTCTTCCAAGGGTTGAGCTGTATCCAAGGCAGAGAGTGTTACAGAGCAGGGAGAAGTGCAGAGGAGGCATCCCAGGGCACTTCTGCTGCTCCGAGGTTTGTGGTTTACAGCTCTTTCAGGGCAAGGATGGCACCTGAGTTATCTGTCCTAAAGGGACTTTGCTAATTTTCTGATCTGTTCTTCGTTACCCCAAGTCCTTTCAAAAAAGAGGTTATGTGCAATTACGCAAATAAATAAGGGAAGAAAGTTCTGAGCTTCTGTTTCCTGGGAGCTGCCAAGGACAGAGGCGTTGTCTTGTCCTGATCCAAGTCCCAAAAGCACAACTCTACTATAGCTCGCCTCCACAGGATATTTCTCTTGGCTCATGCTCAAATCCATGCTCAAATCCAAACACCTGTAATTTGAACACCTTTAATCATCTGGCTGCTTAAACCACTCCCTTAAAACTTCCCAGCCTGACTTCTGTCAAGCCAGCCACCCCCAGGACCTTCTCCTCCCCCACTGTGGCTTTCCTTCCTATTTACACTGGACACATGACCTTCTGCTCAGCCCCATTTTATTGAAGAAACTAAAGCTTATAGAGGTGACTTGGGCAGTGGACAAGGTTGCTGCAAGGTGACTTGCAATCAGTGGCCTTTTCATGTCTCACAAGATGTCTGATTCCTGATGTACAGTATTGGTTCCCAGGCTTTTGAATCTCAGAACTACTTTGGTGTGGGGAGAATATCCAAGGACAACCCACATTTACTTTCATGGTTGACTCCCAAATTATTGGAGTGCCACCAATGTGGGGAGCAGCATTTTGTGGTCCCAGGCCAAGACTTGTCCAGACAGTGGGGAGGTAAATACTGAGGGTGAGGGTGCACACCAGGAAAGACCCCTAGGCTGCTAGGTATTGTGTTAAACTCTATTCATTTCATTAGCCCATTTTCTGGATTTTGGCTCCATGAAGAAACAATTTAGTACCTGAGAGATCAAAGGTAAGTCTGTCACCAAAGTCAGAATGGCATAAGAAGTACCCCTGGGGTGTGGTGGGCACCACACAGAGGAGAGAGTAAAGACTGCGCCCTGCCCCGTTTCCTCATTGCCTCATTTGTTCCCAAATATCACCCCATAGGCTGTACATGGGCATCTGAAGAAGCCGTAGGAGAAGGCACGGCCCCTGAGGCTGCTGGAAACATGGTCTCAGAACACCGCACCAACACTACTTTCTGAGAAATCAGTACCACTATTTTGCAATGAGTGGGGGTGGCCCGTCCCAAGCCTGGCAGAGTCTCAGAATCACCTGAGGTGCTTAAAAAAAAAAATACAACTCATCTGGGCCCGACTTCAGCCTTGGAGATGTGACCTGCTTTTCCAAGCCACTCTTCAGGAAGGAGTTGCATGGTTGGTGAGGGATTTCATAGAATCTTATGCTAGCCCAGCAGGATGGAGGTCACTCTCATCATCTGATGGACTGTGGAGACACAGAGCTGAGTGGCAGCTAGTGGTCATGAGAGGAAACGTGACAGAAGGGGACTAGTGCGGCCTTCTTGACCATAAACCCCTGGGTTTGGATCCACTCACATCATCCGAACCTTAGTTTCCTCATTTGAATAATGAGCACAGTAATCCCCATTATACAGCAATGAGTGGTAGCAGTCGCTACCTCAAAGCACGGCAGGATTAAATTCGAGAACCAAAACAAAAACGAATGGAAGCCTGGCCTTTTAGGTTCTCAGCAAATGATGGCCACTAATCAGTGGTGGGCGGATAGGCCTTGCATCTCATCTTTTTCACTCCCATAGTGGTTCTATCCCATCCGCCTCCACAGGAGAAATATCACGTAGTCATAATACCTTAGCAGAGTGTGACTGGTGAGCACCACACGGCACTGTCTTTATGAAGGTTTCCTTAGGCTAACACCCATTCTTCTCTGATTCTGGCTGGCAGTGAGGCAGTGACATGGCGCCTGAGCATACATCTGCCAGGCCCTGGCTGCTTTTCATAAGCTAAAAACAGGGCAGAAGCTTCTCTTATCCACACCCTCCTCAGTGTTACCAAAGGAGTGATAATTTGCTCCTGGACTCTGTCTTTGACTTCCATAGATATCACAAGGGATGTTGCCCAGCACAGGGGTTGGTTCGAAAGCTGATGGGAGAAAAATTCCTGATTAAGCACCACACACTGGGCACCTACTCTATGCCAGGAGACTCTCATGCGATTTCATTTAATGTTTACCACCACTCTCTGGGTAAGTGTGCTTGGCTTGACCCTGGAGCTAGGTCTGTTTGGACAAAAATCACAGCTTGGACTTCATTTAGGATTGTTCGCCCTTTGGTTTATTCCTGACATAGCCGATGACAGAGCAATGGAGATGATCCAAAACGGCTACAGGTGACTGGCTATGGCTCTCTCCTGCCTCCTTGGTGCCCAAAGATACCTGAGGTTGGTGATCTTTGCAGTCTTGGTAGAATGGAACTAGGTGGGAGGAGAACAGTCTTCCTACCTTTTATACCCTCAGTCACATCTGCTCCCAGGAAAGACTAACTACTACATAAACAACACTGCTACTCAGGGAGTCACTCCACCTGGAATGCATGTCCGGGTTTTGGACCTTGATCACTTTGCTTTGCTGAAACAACCTTGCCCTGTCTACACATAAGCTGCTGGGCCTAGTTTTCCATGGGGAGGCTGGGCTGGACTGGAGGAATCCCTGTTAACAGCTGTTTACCATGTGCACTCCCAGGGGCTCCCTGTCACCCACGGTCAAATTCTGTACTTTGCAACTTTATTATCGACTCTTCACTACCCAGGCCCATTTTACATCAAAAGTATGCTGGACTCCAGCCATACCAAACAATTGCTCTCCCTGTTGTTCCAATTTTTTCCACTACAGCGTTGGTCACACCTGAGAGGTTACCTTGGGGGGTACAGGCATCTGAACCAGGGAGATCTGCACTTGAATGCTGGTCCTTAGTGATCTTGAGCAAATCACTGTAACACTCAGGCCTCAATGTTCTTTAGGGCAAGGCTGAACTATGTCTAAGTTCGGGGCTCAGGCTTTGCAGGGAAGAACTGGGAGCTGCCTGGCCTCAGAGAGCTTCTCTTTAATTCCTTCCAATCTCAGCATCCTCACCTGAAAAATGGGAAAACAATTATCTCTCTTGCAGGACAGTGGAAGTGACTGAAGGAGAACATTTGGCAAGGAGGGTCTGATAGCTGTCTCTTTTTCTTCTTACTTTTCAATAGCCTGCATCCTTCAGGGTCAAGTTCCAGCCTTTCTTTTCTGTGGCCTAACTCCTTGCCTTCCCTGTGTCCTGATTTCCCTTCTTGCACTTGTTTTTGCTGGCCCAGCTGTCTATGGCCAAGCTTCCACTGGGAATGCCCCACAGCAGATGTGCATTTCATTCCTGACTAGGGCTTCTGCCCTTGTTCACTTTCTCTGTATAACTGTGGCCTGGTTGGATTTGAGGCAAACCTTACTCATCAACACTACTTTCCTCAGAGCAGGAGGCCAACAATGTTACCGACAGAGAGCTGGAAGTATCTGCAAAGTTAAGTCTCAGCCAGCATGCCTGATGGGTACAGTTGGGATTGGGAGGGAGAATGAAGTGGGCAAGGCCACATCTATAACACTTTCCCTCTCCACAGGAGATGAGTGTACCCCAGGCCTGGAACAGGTGGGACCACCTGCCTCATACTTCCGCAGAGTACAGAGGGCGAGCTCAAATAATTCCAGACAAAATCTTTAGAAAATGAAGTGAGGAAGCGAGATCAGAACAGAGTAAACTATTTCAAGAAACTAGATTACCAAAGACTTAAAGTAACAAATGTACTTTTAATTGATCTACAGATAAAAACTACTCAGCAAGGTCTATAACCATTTTAGTTCCTAATCTGTTCGAGTTATACTCTGGACAGTGCTGAGGAAGAGGGTTGACTGGTTATTTTCATTACTTCACTTCATCCGCAGAAATAGAAAAACAAGGCATGATATCAGTTTAGATGAAATGCATGGCTAGCAGCCTAATCCAGTCCTATATTCCATATTTTTTCTTTAGTTCTTCTACTTTGTTGATGTAAGCTTTCACGGCACCCTCCTTGGAAGTCCCTGTAAGGAATCAACAGGATTTTTTTTGTCAGAGAGGTAGCATGGTTGAAAAGCAGCAGCTTTAGAGCCCCAGAAAGCCCCAATTTAACACTCTGGGGCTCAGTTTCTCGACTGTGAAGTGGGGGTCCTACTACCTACACCTAAAAGATGTGGCCAGGATTTGGTGTACTTGAGGAGCCTGGCCCACAGTGAATGCTCCATAGAGCACTGAGCCAATGTGTGTGGCTGTGCTGAGGCCTGTCACTGGCCTGCTGGCCATGTGAATCTCCCACTGTCAGGAGTGAGTGGTTAGTCTGAGCCTTGGGAGAAAAGTTGGGCCCTTCAGATAGGCAGGAAAGCCTAACACAGGGAGCCATGGTGACTTCATCGGTCCTGCTGACTCTCACAGTTGGCTTTGACCTATCAAGTATTTCTCTGTTGGGCTCTTATCTTGTAGAGCTGTTAAACTGGCGGTGTAAAAGCAAAGCTAGGCACCCTCTTCTCCCGAGAGCAGCTAGAAGAAAAGTTTTGAGAACTCTGAGCAAAAGCAGCTGGCTTTGGGAAGGGAATTAGGCAAATTTTTGCTTTCTTGATGTGGTACAAAGAACACTGACTATATCCATTAGAGATAGTAATACCCAGTTTTCTGGATTTCATGGAATTGGAGCACGTTCTGAAGCACTGGAGAAGGCATGAGGCCTGAGGATGGTATGGAAATGCCCAATGAAAATGGACAGACGGGCAT